CAAAAACATATTAGTTCAAAGACGTTTGCAGCATATCATTGTCAGTTTCAAGTGTCTCGGAGATTTGAAGGAAATGCGGTGGTAAACAATTACTATGCTATGGTAACACGATGCTGAAAGGAAAATGCGAGGGTGGAAGAAACATAGGATGGGGAAGCAATGAGAACTGTACAAAAAATGAAGGATGATGAAATGGGACAACAGTTACACAACAAAATGTCTAAGCAGCTGAAGATTAATTGATTGAGTGGTGCTAACAGTCGGAGTCCGCTTGAAAAGCTGACCCATGGTTCATAATGCACTCTAGAAATGATAGAATCACCAAAGAAGACAGCTGCAGAGTGATGCCAGTAGCACGGGTAGCATAAATTCCTGCATGCCCACTCACCTGATCAAGCAGGCCACGGTGCTTTCAAATGCTCTTCTACCAGTTTTTATTATTTTTGTGATGAAGTTTTGCGGCTTTGGGTATTGCAGCACTACCTCTCTTCAGGTAGCCAGATATACCACTTTTCGAAAACAAGACTACACGAAAGCTTCCAAAAAAACAAGTTTCAGATGTGATATTTATAGTACTGGAATTCGCGAGGATAGCTATGGCTGCTTTTTGGAAACAACCCAGTCAGCTGCCGCTGAACGCTCTTTAGATCATTTCGGCCAGATGCTATCAACCACTCTGTGAATCATCTTTGCTAGCTCACACAATAAGCTATGGAAAAGAATTTGCTCATTGCTTTCGGTCAAATTTAAAATTTTATTTGTTTTCGGTGATTTTCAAATAAATCAATCAAATTTAAAAATCTGCCCAGTGCTTTCGGTGATTTTGGCCGATCGCTTTGCAGAGCTGGACGTTAGCATCATGCAAAATATTAATAAAATGTTCCGTTCTACGCGACTCGCATTCTCACTGTGGCTGTTGGGGGTGCGAGCTCTATTGCGTCAGAAGAGAGCAGTCCGGAATCAGCAGCGTGGTCTAGTATATCAGTCTTCGTGCGCTCCAGAATTGCCAAGCTGTCACCACCCGATCGCGGGGCTGCTAATTAAAGTGGATTATCCCTATAGTTGGTGGGGGAAACTGGAAAATAGCAAAGTCATTATAGCTAACTTAATCAACACTGTCTTGCTCATATTTTAAAAAATTACACAAAGCAAAAAATGGCTATAATTTGGCGATAATCACAAGCAATTGTGCATTCACTTTTTGCTGAAAATAGAGTAAGCGATGATTAGGATTAGCGAGAAGAGGACTTGGCGAATAGACCACTCACCATCAAAAGAAAGCAAATCAAGTGCAAGCTGTCCAATATAGCTGTCCTTCCGAAATTTGTTATTGTCCCAGATTTGTACGAACAGTATTGGTTCCACCAGCGAGAGCGATTTTTTGCTAAAAAAAAATCC